TTATTATTCACATGCCATGCTTGCACTCAGACATGCTCGCATGCTTACATTTACATGTTTACATGCTTACACTCATGCACTCACACACAGTCACCATGGCACTCTGGTCATAGCTCACACACAAACACATGCCAGACCAAGACTATTTGCACACACTGACAGACACTCAGAGGCTCACACACTCAGACACACACAGTTTTATGTTTACTCACTCACACAAGCTGTCACGGTCACACAAACACACACGTTCACACAGTCACTCATGTCCATACACTCAAACAAGCTGTGACACACACGCTCACAGTCACTCACGTGAGTTGTGACACTCACACACGTTCACACATGCACACTCGCCTACACTATCATGCTCACATACACACATTCACATATTCACACACGTGTTCAAGTACACTCACACTGTAACTCAGTCATGCTCACACAGTCACACACGGTCACACACATGTACTCATACATGCTGTCATGTTCACATGCATTACCAGTTCACATATACACACTCGCACAGGCTCACATATACATGCTCACACATTGTCACACTCACATACCCTCCCACGCTCACACTCGCGGGCACACGCCTTTTTTCCTAAGTGGGGTCTCAGTCACATCCTGCCCTCGCTTGGCGAAGCAGCTACCCCGGGCTTGAGCCGGGCACTCCCGGGCCCTCTGTGTGGTGTCGCCTCTGCTGTGGGGACAGAGAAGCCCCACGCTCGCCCCGTGCTCCGGGACCCTCCTCCCCTGCCGCTCGCTCCCCCTTTCCCGTTAGTGCGCGCCCCTCTTTTGATTGACTTCGAACAGTGCTTCAAAGCGTATGGTCGCCTCCAAATGCCCTGAGCGTGGGGGCACAGTTTCTGCCAGGACCCCCCACCCCCCATCCTGTCCCTGAGGAGCCCCAGTTGGCGGCAGGAAGTGGCTGGGCTGGCCGGGCTGGGAGGGCCAGCAGCGAGAAAGCACGAAGGTTCCAGGCCGCAATCAGCGACCTGCGCGTCGGGGCCTAATGGGAGGCAGATGGAGGAAACCAGGCCGCCCTCGCTGACAGGGAGGTCAGAGGGCGCGGGGCGCTCCGACGACAGGAGCCTGGCGACAGGCAGGCGGCAGGGCCTGGCTCCACGGTGCGGTGCCTGAGGGCCATGTGGGAGCAAGGGTCACGCCCAGGCCCTCTGGGGCCCAGGGCTAGAGGGTCAGCAGGATGCACCCCCCAGACAGATGCGAGAGCCCCCTAGTTCACCATGTGACAGGTCGCCAGGCTGCAAATGAGTTTCGCTTTCTTTTGGGTTTTTGGGCCACACCTTGGCAGTGCTCAGGCCTGACTCCTGGCTCCGAGCTTAGGGGAGTCAAACCTGGGTTGGCCATGTACAAGGCAAACGCTCTGCCCACTGTACTATCTCTCTGGCTCCAACTGTCAATTTCTGATTGGAAAAGCTTTTATTGAAGAGGATGAAGAACCTCCAGCTCCGGGCACATCTCTTCGATTCCACTGTTCTTCCTGCATTAACATACGCCTCAGAGACCTGGGCCCGGCGAAAAGAGGATGAGAACGCTATTCTGGTCTCCCAAAGAGGATTCAAAAGAGCTATGCTTGGACTACCACGCTTCACTCAAATGAGATAAGGAATCCGGAGCTCCGACCTCCGTCAACGGTCAAGAATCAGGGACACTGTCTTGTTTGCCAAGGCGTCGAAAATCAGATGGGCTGGACACGTAATGAGATTTGGAGACGACCACTGGACTAGAACCATTACCGACTGGATTCCACGGGATGTCAAAAGATCGTGTGGCCGCCTATCTACGAAATAGTCACACTTCTTCGTCAAGACCCTGAACGAACGGTTTGAGGCTCTTCATGTTCCTAGAACGAGCAGATGCCATTGGGCTACACTAGCACGCGACAGGGACGAATGGAGACGTTACTGGTGTCCACTCGAGCAAATCGATGAATAACGGGATGTTAAGTGATCAAGTGATCAAGTGAAGCTATTATTGGCTCCAAGACTCTGCTGGGAGGATCATTGGGTTCCAGGTGAGAACACGAAGTCAAGAGATCAGGGAGTCATTCCTGGATCCCTGAAAGAGGAGCCCAGCTCCTGGTGCCTAGGAGGGTGACCTTATTCAGAAGTTAGGGTTTGGGGGCCAGGACGTTTGCCTTGCATGAAGCTGACCTGGGTTCAATCCCATATGATCCCCCAAGCACCGCCATGACTAATTCCTGAGTACAGAGTCAGGAGTAACTCAAGATATTGGGGTTTGGCATAGCCAGAGAGATAGCACGGGAGGTACTGAGGTGCTTGCATTGTATATGGCCAACCCTGGGTCCAACCCTGCCAGGAGTCAGCCCCGAGCACAGAGCCAAGAGTCAGGCCTGCAAACACCTGGCTTATGACTCCCCCCTTCCCCCCCAAAAATTGTATGTTAGATGAGGTCATGGTGGATTTGGGTAAAGCAGTGTGAGAGGTGACCAGACAGAGCAGGCAGGGTACAGGAGGAATGTGACATAAGCTTAGGAAGACCCAGAGATTGGGCTGGAGCCATAGGACAGCGGGGAGGACATTTGCCTTGCATGCACTCGGTCTGGGTTCCATCCCCGGCATCCCATATGGTGCCCCGAGCTTAGTTGGCACAGCTGCTGGTTACAGTTGGCAGTTTTCCCAAGAATTGTGATGAAGCAGTCTCAAGTCTGTGAGCTAATTGGTCATGCCCACCTGCTGTGCCCAGAGATATCCTACTTATCATGGGACTGGCTAGAGGCGTCTAGGGGATTTCCAGCTTTGGCCAAGGACAGTCTCAGGGAATTCTTGGCGGGGGGGTGGGAATAGAAACTTAGATCTACTGCTTGTTTTGCTGAAGTGCAGCCTGTCATGGCGCATATGAGGTTCTTTCTCGGCCTCACACCAGGAGTAATTCCTGAGTGCAGGGCCGGGAGTAACCCCTGAGCATCGCTGGGGGTAGCCCCCAAACCCAGACCCAAACGCATCACAAAACCAAATGTCCTAAGGAAGACTCAGAGCTGGAAGGCGGAAGAGGTGGGTGGGGGCAGTGAGGGGAGCCTGCCCTGGAGATGGTGAGAGCGGGGCCAGTCCCTCAACTTGACCTTGCACGTCCAGGCCAGGACGGACGGAGACAATTTCTCAGTTGACTTGTGACCTGCCCATGGCCAAGTCTGTGGCGTCTGGGCTGAAGATGCCCCCACGTCCCAACTCCGTCTCATCCAGGCCTCCAGCCGCTCACCTGTTGTTTGTGAGTCTCCACTAGATGCCAGTTCTGTCCCCTGTGTTCCTGGAATCAAGGACGCAAGGTCAAGAGAACCCCACCCTGTGCTATGCAGGGCCTTGGGATCAAGTGAGCAAGGACGCCCCCCCCTACAAAGAACTCTGCTATACTGTCAAGTGGGACCCCCTGGGTAGCCTAACAATTGTACCAGCAGTTGAGCAGTGATCCCCTTTTGTCGAAGAGCACAGCCTCTTGGACTCAGGGGCTATTCCTGGCCCTGTGCACCGGGATCATGCCTGGCGATGCTCAGGGACCATATATGGGTACCGGAATTGAACTGGGGCAAGTGCCTTCCCGGTTGTCCTCTCTCCTTGGACCCCATTTGGGTTTTCCCAGGGAAAACTATTTTGTGCTCTGTGTGTGTATGTGTGTGTGTGCGTGCACAGTTGGTCTACGTCTAACATTTCCTCATAAGGAAGGTTGGGGTGTCTCTAAATGCCCCTCTAACTTCCCTCTGGCAAGTGCCAGATTGGCAAGGCACTCCCAGACTAACAGTGGGGGTGGGAGGCCCCGCAGACCAACTTGGCAGAATGTTGGCATCAGGGTCCAGCTCTGGGATGAGCGAGGCGGCAGTTGGACAGCGTGGCCTAAGGAAAATGGCATCGCCCCAAAAAGTGATCCCAGCACCAGAGCGATACTACAATCTCGACTAGGAGTGATCCCTGAGTGCAGAGCCAAGAGAAAGCCTTGAGCATCTCCAGGGGTGGCCCAGAAACCAAAAATAGGGGCTGGAGCAATAGCACAGGGGGTAGGGCGTTTGCCTGGCACGCGGCCGACCTGGGTTCGATTCCCAGCATCCCATATGGTCCCCTGAGTACCGCCAGGGGTAATTCCTGAGTGCAGAGCCAGAAGTAACCCCGGTGCATCGCTGGGTGTGACCCCAAAAAGCAAAAATAAATAAATAAATAAAGCTCCGACTTTAAAAATAAATAAATAACGTGACCCCCAGCTTAGGTTTCATGTGCTTGCACCTCCACCAACGGCAAGTTCTGTTTTGTTTGGGTTTAGGATGCTCAGGGAGGGTTCTGCCTGCTGGTTTGTGGCGTTGTCGGGAGAGTGGGTGATCAGGGCGGAGCTCCGGACTCCGGGATGCATCTTGCCTGGGAAGGCAAGAACCAGGTGAAGCGGAAAAGACCCCGGTCCAGTCCCGTGTGTGCTGGACGTGGTCCGACTCCAGCCCTGTGACCTCACAGCGCAGGGCCCTGGGGCCAGGGCCACGAGCCCCATTTCACAGATGCTCGAGTGGACAGACCCTGACTCAATGGGAGGCTCCTGGGAACGGACTAAAGAGTCATCTCCACGGCGCCTGGGAGCGGGTGGGCACCGGCTGGGCGAGAGGGTAGGGGGGGGTGGCGTGGGAAGGAGCTGGTCCGACCCCGCCCGTCCTCGGGGCCGCAGCGGCCCAGCGCGCGCATCCTCTGGGCGGAGCTCGAACGGCGCCTGGCGGCCACGGCTGGGATCGCAGGCCGGAGCCGGGCTGGGCAGCGCCGAGGGCTGGAGAGGGCGGACCGTGGTGGACCAGTGGGGGCGCCCGCGGGGGCGGGGCTGGACGGGGCGGGGCGAGCGGGAGGACGGTCCTCCGGGCCTGCAGGGGGCGCCGCGTGCTGTCCCGGCGGCCGCGGAGCGCGCTGGCGGCGCGGAGCGGCGCGTCACTTCCGGCGGGCGGGCTGGCGGGAGGTTGGGCGCGCGCGCGCCGGGACTCTGCGGGACGCTGGCGGGTCCGAGGCCTCCGGGACGCTTGCGGGGGCCGCGGGGGCCGCCGGGGGCGGAGGACGCCGACGACATGCCTTTCCTGCACGGCTTCCGGAGGATCATCTTCGAGTACCAGCCCCTGGTCGACGCCATCCTGGGCGCCCTGGGCATCCAGGACCCCGAGCGGCCGGAGCCCCCGGACGGGTGAGGCGCCACCCCCACCCCCCACCCCCACCGCCGACGCGGCGGCCCCGGGGGCTCGTCCGCGCCCCGTGCAGGTTGTTGGGCGGGAGGGGGGGCTCGGGGGTCCCGACGCGCAGCGGAGCTGGGGGCCGTCCTGCCGCACCAGCCCCCGGGGCCGGGCCCGGCCGCGCCCACCCGGGAGGTCGCGCCCCCCTCCCGCCCCGTAGCTCGGCGGCGCCGAACCGTTTCCAGCTCTCGGGCATTCGCGGGGGACTGGGGGGCTGCGGGGGGCGTGGCCTGGCCTTTGGCCGGAGCATCCCTGCCGGCCGGGAGCTGTCCAGGCCACCCCGGGGGCAGTGGGGAACGGGTGCAGGAGGAGGAGGGAGGTCGCAGGCGCGAGGACCCGCTCCCCGGTGGAGCAGGAGTGAGGGGGCCTCTGCGGGAGACCCACTGGAACCCACCCGGGCGGTCGCACACCCCCTTTTCCGCCCGGCGTGGGGGGCTCTCCGGGCACCGACGACCGACCCGACCGAGGACCTGGGGCGCGGGGCGCGAGGCTTGGTCCGGCCTGCTGAGCCGCGCGCGTCCTGCCCCGCCCCGCCCCACCCCGCCCCGTGTGTGTCCTGCCCCAGGGCCAGCGAGGAGAGCCGGCTCCTGGCGCTGGCCGAGCTGCTGGCCAGCAAGAAGCACACCCCGTTCTACCACGAGGGCGTGAGCAACGCGCTGCTGAAGATGGCCGAGCTGGGGCTGGCGCGCCCCGCCGCCGTCCTGCTGCAGAACGGGGCCAACCTCGGCTTCGAAGGTCGGCGGCGGGGGGGTGGGGGTGGGGGGTGGGGAACCTGCGACCCTGCAACCCTGCAACCCTTGCACGGGGGTGTGGGTGGGGGATAAGGCTATGCTTCGCCCACACCCCCCAGGCTCGCAGAACACAGGCCCTGCCGCCGGGCAGGTCGCCCTGCTGGCTACTGGGTTCCCGGAGGGGCCGAGGCCCGGGGACACCCGGCTTCAGGAGAGCGGGGTGGCAGTGGGGTTGGGCTGAGCCCCCCACGAGGTCGGGTCACGCTCCCAAGCCCCCAACCCATCAGTAGTGGCAGCCGGCGCGTGTGCGCGCGCGCGTGCGCGGGTCCCAGCAGGGCACTGACGCTGCTGCCCGCAGACCCGGTCACCTACTACACGGCCCTGCACATCGCCGTCCTGCGGAACCAGCCTGACATGGTGGAACTGCTGGTGCGCCACGGGGCCGACATCAACCGCAGGGACCGGGTAAGGCCAGGGACTGGCCAACCGGGTAGGGTGGCCTCGCTTGGCAGGGGTGCGGTGGGCGGGGCGGGTCCCACAGCCACAGCGCCAGCCAATACCGCCTGCGCCCTGGGCTCAGATCCACGAGAGCAGCCCCCTGGACCTGGCCAGCGAGGAGCCCGAGCGTCTGCCATGTCTGCGGCGCCTCCTGGAGCTGGGCGCAGCTGTCAACGCTGCTGACAAGCACGGTGGGTGCCCCCCGGGTGGGGCCAGGGACCAACAGACCGGGTGGAGTGGCCTTGCTTGGCAGGGGTGCGGGAGGACAGGGAGAACGAAAGCCCAGAGATAGGCTGTGCCTGTCCCGGTGGGGGTCCCAGGCCTTGGCCTCTTGGGTGGAACCAGGGCTTCCTGTGGGAGATGCTGGCCTGGGGTTGGAGGATGCTGCCCACTCCTGGCCTTGGGCCTGTTTGTGAATACAAAGAGGCGACTGTCTCTCAGGGCCCTTATCTTGCGTGTGCGCGTGGGCTACGCCCAGCAGTGCTCAAGGCTGACTCCTGGCTCTGTGCTCAGGGTTTGCTGTGCTGAGGGGGGAGGGCCAGGGGGACACAGGGACCCCATGCGGCCTCCCACTGTGCTGTCGCTTCTTTCTCTGATGTACCCGTCTGTCCCCCAGGGAAGACCGCGCTGCTCCACGCCCTGGCCAGTAGTGACGGGGTCCAGATCCACAACACCGACAGCATCCGGCTCCTGCTGGAGGGAGGTGAGGTGTGCCTTGGCCCCCCACACCCTGGCGCACCATGCCTGGCCTGTCTCACCTCCTGCCCTCTGACCTCCCCCTCCCCCCAGGAGCGGATGTCAAGGTGACCACCAAGGATGGGGACACGGTGTTCACCTGCGTCATCTTCCTGCTGGGCGAGACGGTCGGGGGTGACCCGGAGGAGGCGGCGATGATCAACCGCTTCTGCTTCCAAGTGACGCGCCTGCTGCTGGCGCACGGGGCCGACCCCAGCGAGTGCCCGGCCCACGAGTCGCTCACCCACATCTGCCTCAAGAGCTTCAAGCTGCACTTCCGGCTCCTGCGCTTCCTGCTGGAGTCGGGCGCGGCCTACAACTGCTCGCTGCACGGCGCGGCCTGCTGGTCCGGCTTCCACGTGGTCTTCGAACGCCTCTGCTCGCACCCGGGCTGCGCCGAGGACGAGAGCCACCGGGAGCTGCTGCGCAAGGCCGAGACGGTCCTGGACCTCATGGTGACCAGCTCCCGGCGGCTGCAGCTGCCCGCCAACTTCGACGTCCGCCCCGTGGGCAGCCTGGCGCCCCGAATCCAGGCCCTGCACGGCACCCTGCGCCAGCTGGAGCGCTGCCCGCCGCCGCTCAGCCACCTGTGCCGCGTGTCCATCCGCCTCTGCTTGCAGCCCTGGCCCGTGGACGCCAAGGTCCGGACACTGCCGCTCCCGGACAGGCTCAAGTGGTACCTGCTCAGCGAGCACAGCAGCGCCTCGGACGAGGATGCCTGAGCGGGGCGGCCGGGTCCTGCCTGCCGGGCCCTTCCATGGCCGCGCCTTGAGGGACTGCTCGCTGGGCTTTGCTGCGGCGGCAGGACGCTGAGTTCATGCAAGCACCAGGAAGTGGTCGCCGGCGCCAGGAGTCGCAGCAGGACCCGGCGCTGGCTTCTCGGTCCTATTGATCCTCCCCCCAGATGTGCCAGGTAGGGGACCTCGGACCCCCAACCCCATCCTCTGGAGACCAGTCAGTGGATGGGGGTGTTGTCGCAGCACCACTGCCTGCGTCCACCCAGCTGGGCTGGGCCTCACTGGCCACCGGCTGCAGCCTCGGGACAGATATTTATGTTACAGAATTAAACCCATTCCTTTTGTTCCTCGCTGGGTCCTGTAGCCACCTCCCAGGGTAAAGGGTCCCCCAGCAGCTGGGGGACAGAGGGAGCCAGTGCTTTGGGGCTTTGGGGGTCATAGCACAGACACACACCTTTCCAGCCTGGACAGACCCCTTGCAACATCAAGGTCCACCCTTTTATTTTCAGTTAGAAATGCCTTAAGGGGAGGGGGTGACAAGGCCTCGCTGTGTCTGGTGCAGGCCACGGGATGACCTCCAGGGCCTGCCTGACGGGGAGTGCGCCCCCACCGCCCCGAGGCAGCCGTGGGTGCCCACCCACCTCTCCCCTCCCTGGCGCCAAGGCTTCAGGGGTTCTGGGTCCTGCCTCTCCCATGCTGAGTGGGGGCGAGGCCGCCTCATCTCAGGGCCAGGCTGTACACGTGGTAGATCTCCTCAGGCAGGTTCTCCTGCCGCTCCTGGGCCAGCAGCTTGAGGCCCGCGCGGCGGATGATGCCATGGACCACCTCAAGGTCACGGCACACACTGCTGTCCACGTCGTCCAGGATCACGCCCTCCTGGGCCATGTTGTCCTTGATGACTACGAGGCCATTGGGCCGCAAGCCACGCCGGCAGCGCTGCAGGAACTCGGCCAGGTGCTGGTCAGTCAGGTGGCCTGTGTGGGGGGGGGGACACAGGATGCTGGAGGGACGCGCCAGAGTCCTCCGGGCTGGGGTTTTGTGCCTGCCTGGTTGTGCCAGTCCCGCCCCAGCTCCCGGCAGTGGGGACCGGGCTACACGGCCCCTTCCCCAGCGACACCTCCAGGCACGGCAGGTCACCCACTTGGGGAGGCCCTGGGGTGCAGGTGGGCTCACCGATCACCCACTGGATCCAGATGACGTCGTAGGCGCCGGGCTCGGGGCTGAAGTCCTGCAGGCCGCAGCAGTAGTAGTTGCGCACCCGCTTGCCCTCCTCGCCCAGGTAGCTCTTGGCCTTCACCAGGAAGTCCTGGGTCACGTCTACCATGTCCACCACCTCGAAGAGTGGCAGCAGGAGCCGCTTGGTGATCCTGCCGATGCCCGCGCCGCAGTCCAGGGCACACGACGTACCCGTCCTGTTGGGGCCTTCCTGGAAGCAGCGGGCAAGGGCTCTTGGGAGGGGCAGTGCGCCAGGTCCTGCCCACCTGGAGCCCCTCCACTCGGCACTGGGGACAGGGACTAGGGCGGCTGCCAGCGACCAAGTCGCGCCCGCTTGGAGGGACCGCGTTTCTGAGACCCCATAAAGGTGAGGGCAGGAGAGAGGACAGTGGGGAGGCTGCTGGCCTTGCACATAGTTCACTTGGGGTTGATCCCCGGCACCCAGTGGGGCCTCCCAAGCCCCAGCAGGAGTGAGCCCTGAGCACTGCTGGGTGACCCGAAAAACAATAAAATGAGCAGCAAAGGTCTGCGTGAGCAAGACTGGGAGAAGGGCAGAATGGGCAGGGGGCAGGGCGCAGGGCGCAGGGCCCACACCCCAAAGGAGAATCCCTCGCCCTCCCAGCCCCGCCTACCCTCAGGAACTTCTGCAGGAACTTCCTGGAGCTGTTGATGTCGATGGCTGAGATGTGGCCGTACCCCCCCAGCATGCCGTCCACCGTGGGCGGGACTTCCTGCCAATAGGTCTTGGCCTTGGCGTAGAAGCGCTTCTCGTCCTCAATCACTTCGCTCGCCATAGTGCGCGGTGCCTGGGGGCAGGCTGGCGGGTCAGGGGGTGCCCTGCGTCCACCCTGACCCTCCCCACCCAGGTCACCTGAGTGCCCATCTCTTGTCTCACCCACTGGCTTCTGATCCCAGGTGCTGGACGGCCCCAGGCCCCAGCCCAGGAAAGGAACTGCTGAGCAAGGAAGTTGCCCTGATGGGTGCAGGGGAGCCCCCAGACGCTCAGTGCCTGGCAAACACCTGGCACCAGGAAGACACCCGTGGAAGGGCCGAGGGGGTCCCCAGTGCCAGGACCCTGAGCTCCAGGGCAACGGGGCCAGCACGGAGGATGCTCCCCCTCTGCTGACGAGGGCAGAACGGTCAGAGGGGACCTGCCCAGGACAGCTGGCCAGGCAGAGTGGGCCCCTGGCCTGTGTGCCATGGAGCAGTAGTGCCAGGCTTGGCGGGCCACGGGCGCAGAGGGGCAGGGCATCACCCAGGCCCCCCCCCCACCCCCGGACACAGGGCCAGCCCAGGAGGGTCAAGGGGCACCTCAACACCAAGGGCACCCTGAGGAGGCACACAGGAACCCCCGTGGGACTGGGGACCACTGTCTCCAGCCTGGGCCTGCACTCTGAACCAGTCTTGGAGAAGGAATCTTCCAGAAGCACCAGGCCCACCCACAGCAAAGCAGGTGCCCCTCCCCCCCCCCCAGGGCCAGCGCCTCCAGGGGACTGGGACACTGCACAGGCTGTGTCACATACTGGCGCACTGAGGGTCAAGGGTGCTGGCCGTGTCCACATACGTGCTCAGGGGGTGTCGCAAAGCCATCAGGTGCCCGGGGACCCGGCTCTGACCCTCCTCAGTGCCTTGGCCACAAGCAAGAGGTGACGGGTGGGTGGGCGCTTCCTGAACAGCATCCCCAATCCCAGGGCTCTCGGCCACTGGGTCACAGAATTGGGACAAGGCTCACACCCAGAGCCACGCCCCCTCCCCCAAACTCGCCCAAGCCTCTAGTCATCTCAAAGCCACTGAGGCAGCCCAACTCGGCCAAATACCAAGACATCTTCCCCCCCCCCAAATAACCACATTCCCAAGGCAGCTCCTAGGAACACACCAGGACATGCAAAGGGCATTTGTCCCAACAGCCGCTCCTCAGACTCTGCGGACAGCTGGCCTTCCACAGGACACAGGAGGACCGAAAAAGTCAGGGGCACAGAGGCCAAACAGCCAGTGCCCCCCACACACGCCTCAGAGCCCCCAAAGTGTTCCCGGGAAGAGAAGGTGTAAGCTGAGTGGGGACTGGGTGGGGGCCGCAGGCAGCAGGGTAGGGGGCCCTAGCCCTGTGGGTGAGGTTTCGGGGACGACAGTGACAGGGGGTGCTGAAACAGGGATGGAACCCAAAGCAGAAGATGCCACAAAGGCTGTGACTGATTCACGCATGTCTTTTTTGTGTATTTTGGGGGGGGGGGGGGCAGGCGAGGCGGGGTTGGGGTCACACCTGGCGATGCTCAGGGCTTACTCCTGGCTCTGGCCTTAGGGATCAGGCCTCGCTGGCTCAGGGGACCATATGGGATGCCGGGGATGGGAGTCTGGACGGTTGTATGCAAGGCCAGCGTCTCCCTACTGGACTCCCGGTTTTACCAGGGTTGTCTGCGCATGAACAGACACTGTGCTCGCTCCAGGGAGTGTTTCTGCAGAAAGGGGGCTGCGACCCCACCTTCACGGGAGGCTGCACTCCCCCAGGTGTGTATGGGGGAGCTGAAGCCACAGCGCAGCTCCAGGTAAGGTGCTTCCCAGTACATGCGGCCAACCCAGGTCCCATCCCCGCCAGGACTGATCCCTGAGCACAGACTCAGGAGTAAACGCTGAGCACCGCCGGGTGAGCCCCCCCCAAATTAAATCCTAAAGTGTCCAGTGGATGGAGTCTGCGGTGGGGGGCTGGAATGCGGGGCGGGGCCCCACACCTGCAAGGCACGTGCTCTAAGGGGCCTGGACCCCGCGAGCCCAGAGGCCTGCCCAGCGGCAGCTGCCCTTTCTCATCTCCGCGGGAGTGTCCTCGAGCGAGCAGGGGGGCGGTGAAGCGCCCGCGCCGCCCCGCGGGGCCAAGCGGGCTCAAGGCCGTGTGGCCGGGTGGTTGCATGCGGGTCGGCGGGGTGGGACGTGGGGGGGGCTCGCGTGGGGCCCTGGGCGGCCGAGGGAAGCGACGTCCCAGACTGGCGACTTAGGCGCGTCCGGCCGCCGCCCCGCACAACCCAGCACACCCCCCCCACCCGCGCACCGTTCCCCGGGTGGGAAACTGAGGCTCGGCGCGCGCACACGGAGCCCGACACGCGCCGAGAGGCCCCGCTGCCCCCCGCATCCAGGACGACTCGGGATCCCGCCCCTCTCCCTGCACCGCCGCGCCCCCTCCGCCTCGCGCTACTCACCCCGGGCGGGACCCCCGGGGCCCGGCAGGAAGCAGAGGCGGCGGCGGCGCGGACCCCCGCGAGCCCCAACCGGCCCCGGCCACACGCGCCCGTCCGCGCGCCCGCCCCGCGCGGCCTTTGTCCGCTCGCGTCACTTCCGGGGCGGAGCCCGGACGTCGAAGTCCCGCCCCTAGCCCCGCCCCGCCCCACCTGGTTGGCCTCCTCGGCCAGTTAAAGCCGCCCCGGGCCTGCCCACCAGCACGTGCACCCGCCCCTCCGAGGCTGCAAGGCCTTGAGAACGCGTGTGCAGGGCTGGGGCGCTAGGACAGCGGGGGCGGCGCTTGCCTTGCACGCTGTGGACGCGGGTTCGAACCCCGGCATGAGGCATGAGGCATCCCGTAGGTCCTCCAGCAGTGCCGGGCGGGATCTCGGAGTGCAGAGCCAGGAGTCACCCCTGGGCATTGCAGATTGTGGCAGAGAGAGAGGTGGGGTGGGGAGGGAGGGAGTCTGCAGGGGTGGTCACTGGGTCAGAAACGGGAGGGGTTCTTCAAATTCCATCATGCACCCCTAGCAACTGGCATCTTAAAATAACATAGGGTGGGGGGGGCTGGAGCGATAGCACAGCGGGTAGGGCGTTTGCCTTGCACGCTGCTGACCCGGGTTCGATTCCCAGCATCCCATATGGTCCCTTGAGCACCGCCAGGGGTAATTCCTGAGTGTAGAGCTAGGAGTAACCCCTGTGCATCGCCAGGTGTGACCCAGAAAAGCAAAAAAATAAAATAAAATTCCACACCCACCCAGATTAAAAAAAAATAAACAACATGGGGTGGGGCGGGAGAGATAGTACAGCGGGTAAGGTGCTTGCTTTGCCCATCCCCCCTCCGCAACTAATTCCCAGCATCCCATATGGTCCTCCAAGCACCCTGAGCATTCCAAGAATGCCTCCCCAAAATAACGCGGACCCACAAACTAGAAATTCCCCAAATCACCCCCATCACCCCAAATACTCTGGTGGCTGAAAACTTCAGGACCCTTCTCAGAATGAGGTTGGGCGGAGCCCCCTTCTGCCTGAAGGCACAGCAGCTGCAGCCACACCCAATACCCTCTGACAAGGCCCAGAAACCTCAAGCAGCCGCCGAGCCACGGAACCATTCCGTCCCCAGAGCACCGGGCACTGCCAACTTTCATACAACTGTCAGCCCAGTAGGGCCACAGCAAATCTGATGGGGAAGTTTCTTGGAAAACCACCAAACTCTGAGAGAAAACCACAGAAAATTCAATTAGCACCAACCTACCCAGCCATGGCGAGATGAGACAGTGATCACACATGGACTCTTCTTGGTCTATTTTTTTATAACGCCATTTGCCTTTGTGCTGTAACAAGAAATATGAAGTAAGTTTGTTTGTGGCTGTGAAGGGGCAGGCTGGCATGGCGGGTGGGAATCGGAACTGGTGCAGGGAAGGGCACACAGGTGCCGGGCTTGGTTGTTGGAACATTGAATGCCCGAAACAGCTATTGTGAACAACTTGGTAAACCACGGTGTTATAATAAAAATAAAATGATTTTAAAACGGGCTTTGAGTTTTCCTCTCTGCCCCGAGCAGAGCCCCGGCAGCTGAAGACCCCTGGGACCCAGTCACAGCCATGCTGAGACCACTTTCCACACGCTCAGACGAACCTCACACATGAAGGAACCGGCAGAGGAACCCAGGTGTGCGGGACCCGGGGCTGAGATCTCCAAGCCTGCTCGGTTCGGGACTGGGCCTCCTCCACCCAGCTCTCCCCACCTTCCAGTAGCTAGACAGTTACACCCACCAACTGCCATGTAACTCCATCAATGGCCAGGATCCAGAGACCATAAAACCAAGCTCCTGGAATTTGCGGCCGCGCAACCTCTTATCGTTCTCACTCTCAGAGAACCCAGCAGACTACTGAGTATCCTGCCCACATATACACCTGACTGGGAAAACCTGTAAAGGTGATTAGAGGCTGCCCCAAGAGCCTTCATCCCTCTCGGAGAACCCAGCAAGCTACTGAGAGTATCCCACCCGCATGGCAGAGCCTGGCAAGCTACCCATGGCTTACTCGATATGCCAAAAACAGTAACAATGATGGTCCTCATTCCCCGACCCTGAAAGAGCCCCCAGTATGCCACTGGGCTACACTAGCACGTGACAGGGACGAATGGAGACATTACTGGTGCCTGCTTGAGCAAATCGATGAACAACAGGGTGATAGTGATAGTGATTTTAAAGCAAAAGTAAAAAATTAACAGTACAAACCCAACCCCACAAAATGTCAGTTTCTTTCTTTCTCTCTTTCTTTCACACCCACCTGTGCTCAGGGATTGCTCTTGGCAAGGCCCAGGGAACCCTATGGGGTGCTGGGGCTCAAATTGGGTTAGCTGAGTGAAGACAAGTACCCCTCTCGCTGTAGTGTCTTCCTGGCCCCCCACTTCACATGATGACTCTTAGCCCAGTGCTCCGTGCCTCGGGGCACTGGGTGAAAGGAATGGCCCCATAGGAGGCCAGAGGCCAAGCAGGGCCTTAAAATCTTCCTGTGAGTCTCCAGGCCCTTTGCCCCCAGCCCCCAACACCCCAAGAGGCCCACCCAGGCCTCTGGGAAGTAATAGAGAGTTGAAAGTTGGGGACCCTCTGGCTCGGGGAGTCAGTCACCCAGGAGAGCCAGGAGCCCTGGCCAAGGCAGCCCCGCCCACTGGCCCAGGATGGATCACAATGAAGCTGAGACAGGTCCCGCGGCCAGCCGGGAGGGGGCAGCAGAGAGACCAGGCCGGGAAGATGGGCCTATCAGGGGCGGTCCACCTGTCCGGGGGCCCTAAACTCTAGGGCCCCTCTCTGGTTCCCCACCCCACAAGCCCCACTAGGGTGAGTGTGAAGCAACAAACATCTTGGCGCTGACCCGGGCCTGGGATGGGGAAGGGAGGACCCTGCCGTCCCCTCGAGACCCTGTGTTCAGTCGTGGGAGACAGACCTGGGCTGCATCTCCCAAGGTGGAAGTGGGGGACGGGGGGTGCATGTCCCGACCTGCTCCAGGCTCAGCATCCCAGATTCTGGGGCTATTTCTTGGGTGCCCCCCTCCCTCCCATCCAAAGGTCCTGGGCTGCAGCTGGGAGGGTCCAGTGGGGGGCCCGGGGGCCCTTCCTAAGGAGGAGACACATTTCCTGGCCCCCGGCCGAGGGGAAATAGCAGGAGTGCCCCCCCAAACCGAACCGCGGAGCTCTCAGGGCGGGGCGCTCTGGGGTGCCAGCGGCGGGGGACACTGACAAGTGAACTAATGAGCCCTGGCTACTCCTTGGCGCGGCCTCGCGCCCCCCCCCCCCCAAGCACGGCCAGGAGCCGCTCCCCGCGCCCGAGCCTGGGGTGGCCCCAGAGCACCTCTGGGTGCGGGCCCCCAAGCAAAAATTAAGTCTCTGCAAAGCCCGTCTGCGGAGCAAGGGGCCAGGCGCCCCCCGGGGACGGCGGCCCGCAACGTCACAGCAACTCAGGAAAGGGGAGGGGGGAAGGTCACTATTTCCGTCACTCAGGTGAGGACACAGAGGCTGGTCGCGGGGGCGGCCGAGGGCCCCCCCCAAGTCTGCAGAGCCTGGAGGGCGCCGCCCCGCTGGCCCGGAGGCTGGCGGCTGCCCCCGACTCGGCGCCCCGGGGCGCCGGCGCCCGCACGGCTGTCAGGATGCCGTGAGCTGAGCCTGGGGGCCAGACATGCCCCGGCCGCGGCCCCCCACCCAGCAGCGAGCCCCGCAGAGGGCAGGCGAGGGGTGCCCGGGCCGTCGGGGCGGCGCGCGCCCCGGGGACTCCGGGTGGTCGCGCGGCGGCGGCGGCGTCGACTGGTGGGGGCCGCCCCCTGAGCGCGCGGCCGGCCGCCCCCGGTCCCCGCTGCACCTGCCCCCGCTGTCCCCCAGCGCCACCGTGGCCCAGCGCGCCGCGCGCAACCGCGAGCTGCTCCGCTCCGTGCTGCTGCCGCCCCTGCGGCCCGCGCCCCCGCGCCCCGCGCCCGCGCGCCCCGAGCGCGCATCCCCCCGCGCCGCGCGCGCCGACTCCCTGGGCGCCGCGCTCGGGGGGCTGCTGCCCCCCAGGTTCCGGGAGTTCCTGCACCACCTCCGCCAGCTTTCGGATTCGGCGGAACCCAGCCCCCCACCCAGTGAGGCCCTCCCCGCGCCGGCACCACCCGGGGGGTCCCCCCCGGAGCGCCCTGGCATCCCCACTTTGTCTTGTTTCCTGGTGTGTGTTTGGGGGGGTGGGGGTACCACACCCGGCGGTGCTCAGGGCTCACTCCTGGAGGTGCCAGGGACCGAACCCGGGTCGGCCGCGTGCCTGCGGCGCTGCCCGAACCTGGCACCCGCCTTCGGGGGGCGGCGTCTCGCGTGCCCCCAATGTCCAGATGAGGAAACTGAGGCCCTGGCTAGTCAGCGCGTCTCCCCCCCACCCAACCCCAGCCCAGACTTCTATTTCTCTCTCCCCCGCCCCCCCACTCCGGCTCGGCGGGCAGCACCCCCGGACTACCTTCGCCGAAGGGCTGCGGCAGACCACTGCGTCCAGCGGTGCCCGCGTTGCGCCTGCCTCTTCCTCCCGGACTCGCGGTAAGTGTCGCCCTCGGGGGCGGGTGGCCGCGGGATGGCCGTCTTGGGGGGGGGGGGTCCCGTGCCCGTTTCATGGCCCTTGTGGCCTCTGTTTCAGGGACCAGTCGACCCACCTGCAGAACCGTTTCCGGAAGATTTTGCTCCATCCGGTCCCTACTGTGTGTTCCTTGAAGGAGCGGTCAGAGTTCAACACGGTGAAGCAAAGCCCCCAGTGAGTGAGGAGGTGGGTGGGGTGGGCCACCCAGCCACCAGCTGTCCAAGCATGGCTGGCTGGTTGTGGTTTTATTTTATTTTTATTTATTTCTTTAGTTTTTGCTTTTTGAGTCACATCCGACGATGCACAGGGGTGTTACTCCTGGCTCATGCACTCAGGAATTACTCCTGGTAATGTTCTCTGGGGGACCATGTGGGATGCTGGGAATCAAACCCAGGTCGGCCGCATGTGGTACAAACGCCCTTCCTGCTGTGTTATCACTCCAGCCCCGGCTGTGGTTTTGTTCATGCCCAGAGATATCCCAGGGCTACTCAT